GAGCAAAGGGCATCTACGTGAAGCCACATGTGTTGTGCTGTGCTCAATTACACAGGGTCTTGCAGGCCCTATTAAAGGGTTTGGAATTTATTCAGAGTACAATGGTGGCTTTGGCTAGGGTAGGGGCCATGACTGATAAGTTGTGAAGGGGGAGGGGGGCTGACTTCTAGGTTTATGGCTTAAGTATGAATGGAAGTGCCATTTACTCAGATACGAAAAGAATTAAGATTCAGACATGTTAAACTGGAGATACCAGGGAGAAATACAGCTTGAAAAAACAAATAGGACATACAAGGCTGGTGTGCAGAAGATGTCTGGAAAGAAGATACACACAGAAAATGGCAACTGTGTGGATGATGAGAACAAAGAACAACGCAAGTTCTCCTTGATACTAAAATGGCTCCTTTAAGACTAGGTTAGTTTAAAATTATGAACATAATGCAACTAAAAAAAAAAAAAAAAGAGAAGAGTATTGATCAAAAAAGTTCATACACAGGACAAGTATAGAAATCACTCACACACACACACACACACACACCCCCACACCCACCCACACCCACTCACCCACACCCACACACACCCACACACCCACCCAAAGGAAAACAGAGTAGAAGCACTGTAAAAGACAATTTGAGAGGGAAATTCCTGGGACCATTCAGTAAGTATTCTAGGAAAAGGTTAGTCTACTTCCAACCATCAGTGGCAAGTAAGGAGCCATTTGATATAAAAACAGTAAAATAAAGTATCCTTATTCTGTTCTAAGGAGCCCTGGTGGTGCAGTGGTTAAGTGCTTGGCTGCCAACTGAAAGATCGACAGTTTGAACTCACAAGCCACTCCATGGGAGAAAGATGTAGCAGTCTGCTTATGTAAAGATTTATAGCCTTAGAAACCCTATGGGGCAGTTCGATCCTGTACCACAGGGTCGCTAGGAGTAGGAATCAGCTTGAGGACATCGAGTTTTATTCTGTTCTATCCTCACCAAGCAGTCCTTCCTTTCCTAACAAACCAATTTTTATCCCTTTATAAATGACTTGACGTTTTTACCTGGGTCCCAAAAGATTTGTTTTTGATAAACATTAACTTTAATACAGTATGTCTGAATTTTGACCATTCTGAATCCATTTTTCCTATATCATACTGTGCCCTTTCAATATAAAGATTCACTTTTTATTTCAGAAAGTTTTCATGAATGTACTAAATTATAATTTCAAATATTTATTCTCCTCCTTTAAACTATTTTTCTTCTTCAGAAACTACAATTTTATATGTATTTCATATACTTAACTGCCTGTCTTCTATTGCTAATATTTCTTCTCTAATCTTTCCCTAATGCTCTTTATTTCTGTTTCATTCTTTTTACTTTTCCTATTGTATCCTCTATTGCAGTGTCTATTCGCCTTTGTGTTCCAATTTCAGAAACTAGTTTGCTGCTTTCTTCTTTCCTGGGTTCTGCTATCTCAAAATTTATTTCTTCTGGTTGTTGTGCCATTTTTCCCTAGTTTTTACCTTTCCACTTTTTGGTCTTCTTTCAAAGAATTGCATGCTTAAATTGTTAAAAACATTAACATCAAAATTTGATTTGTGCCAATGCTTTTTTGTCTGTGTGCACATGTGTGTGTAGATCCCTGAGTGGCGCAAACGGTTAAGTGCTTGTCTATTGGCAGAAAGGTTGGCGGTTCAAGTCCACCCAGAAGGGCTCGGAAGACAGGCCTGGCGATCTGCTTCTGAGAGGACACACCTTTGAAAACCCGATAAAGTAGTTTTACTTTGCACACATAGGGTTCCCATGAGTCGGAATGTGTACTGACTAAGCTTTATCCGTTGCTAAACTTTGCAGCTTGTTTCTACCTCTTATTAATATTTTTATACTAATGCTAAGCCAGTTACTTTTAAATTGCTTATCACTGAATGAGTTGGATTTTGCTAGACCAGCTATTTGCAGATTCAGGGGTATGAGGGAGAATCGAAGCAAAGGTTACCTTTACAGGCTTGAAAAACAAAAGACTGTCACATTATCTGATGCTATAGAGACAGACTGCTCTACCCAAATACGGGTCCTCTGCTTTTTAAAACCAGCCCACATCAAGGAAGGCTTCTCTCTAGCCTGCTCAGCCCAACTGCCATGAAGATTGCCAAAAACAATGGATAATGGTTTTACACCTCAAAAATGAACCCCTCACCTTTGTTGTTGTTAGGCGTCCTCAAGTAGGTTCCGACTCATAGAGACCTTATGTAAAACAGAACAAAACATTGCCTGTTCTTGCGCCATCCTCACAATCACTGTTATGCTTGAGCCCATTTTTGCAGCCACTGTGTCAACCCATCTTGTTGAGGGTCGTCTCCTTTTTTGCTGACCCTCTGCTTTACCAAACATGACGTCCTTCTCTAGGGACTGATCCCTCCTGACAACATGTCAAAAGTATGTGAGATGTAGTCTTGCCATCTTTGCTTCTAAGGAGCATTCTGGCTGTACTTCTTCCAAGACAGATTTGTGCATTCCTTTGGCAGTCCATGGTATATTCAGTATTCTTAGCGAACACCATAATTCAAAGGCATCAATTCTTCTTCGATCTTCGTTACTCATCGTCCAGCTTTCGCATGCATATGAGGCGACTGAAAACACCATGGCTTGGGTCAGGCGCACCTTTGTTTTCAAAGTGACATGTCTGCTTTTTAACACTTTAAAGAAGTCTTTTGAAGATCTGCCCAGTGCAATGCGTCTTTTGATTTCCTGACTGCTGCTTCCATGGATGTTGATTGTGCCTCCAAGTAATGAAATCCTTGACAACTTCAATCTTTTCTCTCTTTATCATGATATTGCTTCTTGGTCCAGTTGTGAGGATTTCTGTTTTCTTTATGTTAAGGTGCAATCCATACTGAAGGCTGTGGTCTTTGATATTCATCAGTAAATGCTTCAAGTCCTCTTCACTTTCGGCAAGCAAGGTTGTGTCATCAGCATAAAACTCATGTTGTTAATGAGTCTTCCTCCAATCTTGATGGCCTGTTCTTCTTCATAGAGTCCAGCTTCTCATATTATTTGCTCAGCATACATACTAAATAGGAATGGTGAAAGGATACAACACTGACGCACACTTTCCTTACACCATGCATTATCCCCTTGTCCCGTTCGAACGACTGCCTCTTGATCTATGTACAGGTTCCTCATGAGCACAATTAAGTGTTCTGGAATTCTCATTCTTTGCAACGTTATCCATAATTTGTTATGATCCATACAGTCAAATGGCTTTGTGTAGTTAATAAAACACTGGTAAACATCTTTCTGGTATTCTCTGCTTTCAGCCAGAATCCATCTGACATCAGCAATGACATCCCTGGTTCCTAGTCCTCTTCTGAATCCAGCTTGAATTTCTGGCAGTTCTCTGTCGATATACTGCTGCAGCTGCTTTTGAATTATCTTCAGCAAAATTTTACTTGTGTGTGATATTAATGATAGTTTGATAATTTTTGCATTTGGTTAAATCACCTTTCATCACTTCATCATTTCCCTCGCCTTTAGAAAGTGCAGTTCACTGTCACATTCTGAGTTTTGCCACTATTGAGCATTCTCAATATTCCATATTTTTTCTCTTCCCTTCTTTCCAACTGACTTCTGCTAGAACTCAGTTGCCTGAGTAGCCTTTGACTGTATTTTGTTGTCTAGGTATTTTATCTGTCTTCTTAGTTTTGCTTAGTAAGAGGTGTGAGTTGTGTAGGTAGAGGTGGTGTGTGTGTATGTGTTTGATTTTCCTTGTTGCTTTTGTGTGAATTCTGGGGAGGGCGGGCAGGGAGTGGATACTGACTTACCCTTAATTATATCTAAAAGTCGCTATTCCTTATCAACATATAAATGAAAGGCTTTAATACTAAGCAACCTCTGATCATAATTTGGTTTCCTATGTAGTATCCCTATAGGGTAGGAATGTGTTGGCTAGAAGGTAAAAAGCATTCATGGTCCCACTGGTGGTTTTGCTTCCCACAAAAATTAACACACTGGCATTTTGACATTATATGTTTGTCCCTCCTTGTTTGGTTAATGTGAATAATTCATTTGGAATTTATCCCCTATAGAAATGAATTTACCCCTGTTGAGGTAACTGAGTCTAAAAGGCTAAGGTTTACTAGACAGATGAAACTTGCTACATATTATGAAATAGCAAGTAATACGCTACTTTGATCGATAAAAAAAATATAAGGTTTTGTTTAAAAAAAAAAAAAAAAAAATTCCAGTCCAAGAAAAGAATAATGAAGGTAGCACTTGCTAAATTATCACTTAGCTCCTATAGTCACATCATTCTTTCCTTTTTTATCTTGTTGTTTATGAACATTAACCAGTATGATATGTATTCTTTTGGGTGTTTAAGCTTTTTAAATTCCACTGAGATTTTACTGGAAAGTAGTTATGCCAACGTACACTAGAGTCTTATATCTGTTTAATATGGCAGTCTCAATGTTTCCATTACCACCTACTTCCCCTAGGAACTTAGTAAGGTCATATCCATGACACTTCCTTACCTGGAAACAACTGCAACCAAAACGTGCATTCTTCTCTTTATTTTAAATAGCAATAATGGCTATTAGAAACGTATCTCAGACCCTCATAGTAATAAATATAACCTAATGCAAAACTATGAAAAACTAGGATGACTGCATTTTCTCTGGCAATATTATTATATTTGCTTATGGTTTTTATCCTTTTAGACGAATGAACTAGTAAAAGGTGTATGTTTGGTTAAAGGAAAGATTAAAAAAATACACATACTTGAAAACTATTCCAAATAATGATGCAATACTCAAAACAGAGTTGGCTGATATAAGTTCCTATAACCTATTCAGATACTTTTGACCTGGATCGTGAATTAGGTTTAGGCTACACAAAGACTAGGTGAACAAATGAGACAAACAAAAAAGAAAGTTAAGCTTGAAAAGTTAAACACTGTTAAGAGCAAGAATTTAAAAAACTAAAATAAACAATAAACATAAACAGCAAGAGCTTTATTACCTTCAGGTCGATACTGTGCAACAATTGTGACAGCCTGACCAGCATTTTTCAATGCAGCTGCTGCCTGCTCATGGCTGGCAGCTCTGAGGTCAACGCTGTTTACCTGTAAATCAAACCAAATCTTAATTTGAGAGAACTTAATCACATAGTTAAAAATCACAATAGCCTGTTCTTTGAGTAGGCATAAATTAAAAAAAAAACATTTTGTTGCAATTACTTTTCTTGTTCTGATTTATAAAAATATACTGTGTAGTAAAACAAAAGATTACCAGTAGTTTCATTTAAAGCAACTTAATTCACTAAAAATACTGTGCTTAATGTCAATGAACAAAACCAAAACATCTCCCCCTAGGTTTTCCAGAAGGTTGCCTATCAATCTCTTGAGAAATGTACCTTAATTTGATAACCTGAAAAAATCAACAAGTGTCATCAATCTGTAATTTTGCTAGTAATTCAAGCAATGGGAGGGAAATTAATTTTGTTTGTAGCATCCTTTCACCTATGGCACATGCTCACTCACCCCTACTGCTCATCTCAGTCCCAATTCTCTTCCTTCCTTCCTTTCCCAAACTAAAGCTTCCATTCTTTTGGTGTAACAAGGAAAACAATTACTTAATAGTATTACAATAGCTTGGATTTCAAGGACTAACAGTTAAATAGAGGAAATTTTAATTAAATGAACAAAGAGACCTTTTTGAATAAACGACCTATCCTTGGGTGAAACAGTTACCGAGGTGACCAGTCCCAGAAGAACAAGCAAGCAAGTTCTTACTTCTGAAAGGCTGCCAATACCTGCTATATGCTGTAAGGTAAACTACATTAACAGATCACATAAGACAAAAACTGTAGGATATTCATGGCAGCATTACACTTGAATGTAATAAACTTTAAATATTTAAGGGTTTTTTTTTTTTTAAAGATCTATCATTGAATAGAATAGAATCTTCATTATTTCTGAAAAAGAAGAACTATTATGTAAGTTTTATATGAAAACCTACTTTGTCAAGATCTAATCTAGAATCTTTTAAAGATCGCGTATAAGTTTTGAAAAATTTGACTATGATCCCAGAAATGCTTGTTTTAGTAAAATTTACAAGAAAGCAAATTTCAACCATGTAAAGACTAGGTGTTTAGATCATCTACACAGGATATTGTTAGGCAACTAAATTAAAATACATACCACTCCAATGAAACCAAGATATAAAATTCTAATCTAAACAAATGTTACAATATGGCCATTAGAGAATATCTCTGGCTAAAGATGGCTATTAAAAAAAAAAAAGAAAAAACTCAACACAATGTATATATACTTCTACTTAGAGCGTACAAAAAATCCTCCTAATTTCCAGAATAAATTAGAGAAGAAATATAAAAGAGGATAAATTTTCACAGATTATCATAAAGATTAAATTTTTAATGAACTATTCCTGTACAGAAATATCTGCTACAGAAAGGATCTGAAGGGAACCTATGCAGAATTAAAATAGCCTAATTTTGTTGAACAAAGACTACAAATTAAACACTTCCCAAAGTATCACTAAAATTTTAAGAGGAAGTACATCATCAAGGATAGTTTCGAAGAAATCCCTGCACTGAGAGTCATATTGGTATAAATAGCCTTTTTTTTTTTACACCAACATTTAAAATATTCAGTTATCATTCATATACCAGAAAGTTCATACTCTTGAAGTGTACAATTCAGTGGTTTTTAGCATATTCAAAAGATTGTGCAATCATCACTGCTATCTAATTCTAAAACATATCATCACCCTCAAAAGAAACTCCATACCCATTAGCAGTCACTACCTTCTCCACCCACTATCCCCTGCCCATTTTACATAAAGGAATCCCAACACATGTGGCTGTTTTTGTTTGTCTTCTTTTACTTAGCACATTTTCAACATTCACCAAGCAGGAATTAGTGCTTCATTCCTTTTTACTGCTGAATAATATGCCACTGTGTGGATATACCCCTTTGTTTATCTATTTATCAGCTGACAGACTTTTGAGTTGTGTCTACTTTTTGGCTATTATTAAAAAAAAAAAAAAAGCTGATATGAACATTTGTGTCCAAGTTTTTGTGTAAACATATGCTTTCAGTTCTCTTGGGTATATATACACCTAGGATCATTTAACTCTACTCTATGCTGACTTTCTGAGGAACTTACAAACTGTTTTCCAATGCAGCTGCACCATTTCATGGAATGAAGGATATTCCTGCTGATGTCTGATGGATCTTGGCCAAAAGCAGAGACTACCAGAAAGATGTTTACTTGTGTTTTATCAACTACATGAAGGCATTCAACTGTGCAGATCATAACAAATTACGGATGACATTATGAAGAAGAGGAATTCCGGAACACTTAATTGTGCTCATGTGGAACCTGTACATGGGTCAAGAGGCAGTCATTTGAACAGAAAAAGGGGATACTGTGTGATTTAAAATTGCAAAAGGTGTATGGCAGGGCTGTATCCTTTCACCTTACTTATCCAAACTATATGTGAACAAATAAGAGACTTGTAGCTCTGTATTAAGCTTTGAAACCAGGAAGTGAGTCTCCCAACTCTGTACTTCTTTTTCAAGATTATTTTGGCTATTCTGGGTTTCTTGCATTTCCAAATGAATTTTAGGATTAGCTTGCAATTTCTGATAGGATTTAATTTGTAGATCAATTTGGGGAATACTGAATTTTAGGATTAGCTTGCAATTTCTGATAGGATTTAATTTGTAGATCAATTTGGGGAATACTGACATTTTAAGGGAATTATGTCTTCTAATCTATGAACACAGGATGTCTTTCATTTGTTTTTGTCTCCTATAATTTTTCAACAATGTTTTGTAGTTTTCAGCGTACATGTTTTACACTCTTTAAATTTATTCCTAAGTATTTTATTCTTTTTGATAATATTATAAATGAAACTGTTTTCTTAATTTCATTTTTAGATTGTTCAATACTGGTGTCTTTGTTTGGTATCATGGTGACATTAGTCTTAAAGGATGAGTTGAGAAGTGTCTCCTCCTTTATCTTTTTTGGGAAGAGTTTGTGAAGGACTGGTGTTAATTATTCTTTAAACATTTGGTAGAACTCACCACTGAAACCCTCTGATTATCCTTTTTCATTCCTCATGTGGTTATTTGTGTTTCCTTTCTTTTATTCTTGATCAGTCTTGCTAGAAGTTTATAAAATTTCATTAATCTTTTCAAAGAATCAACAAGTCACCTTCTGACTTTGTTGATTTTCTCTATTTTTTGTTTATTTTCCTCCAAATAACCAAGTAGGGAATAACCCAACCCTTCTTCCGTCAGGCTGCTAGAGTGAGGGGCTGCATCAATGTGATCTCTAGCTGAGAAGGAACTGGATTTTGTTGCACTTACGTTAGTTTAGTTCACATTGCTTCAAACGTTTTGAGAGCAGGATCTAGACTTTTCCTTCTGAGGGGGACTTAGGATACAGGACTGGTGAGATCCCCAAGACCTGTTTGTGTTTTACAGCTGAGTTACAACTTTCAAAACTCTGCTTTATAGCCCAGATGTCAGCTCTCTGGGTTGCTGGTTAAGTTCTCTTTGCTCTCTAGACCTGTCCCAGGCTTTGTGTCTTGGGAAATCTCTATGTCCACAATGCCTTGGAGGGCTTTATCTCAGCTTTCCTGCTCCGCTCCTATCCCTTAGCAGCTGAAAGTACACAGTGCTTATCTATTCCTCATCTTCCTCCTACCACTCTACCAAGGATGAGAGCTGCCATTGGTGCCTTCTCTTCTGTGAAGGGCTAGTTACTTTCTGGAGGTTAGTTCACTCAGATTTCTGTGAATCCTCAGTTCCCTGATGGGTTGAGTTTTTCTAAACTTACCCAATTAGCTTATCCTGATTGTTCTGGATGTTATAGTAAGAGTTGTGGTTGGTCTCTTGAGATTTCTACATTCTAACATTGTTTTAACTAGGGTCTATTTCTGCTTTACAAATCTGTTTTAACTGTTATACCTTTAAATACATAAATACAGTTTCCATTTACTTACACTGCATATTAATAATTTTCTTAGATTGTAATATTATAATCCTCAATAAAGAATTGCTGCATATTTGAAGATTCAAGCGCTCAAGAGTTATTTTCATTCAAACACCAGCTGGTAACACCATGATCCCAGAAAAACTAAAAAAATGGAGTTGTACTTATTTTGTAAATGATCAGTCGCCCCTCTCTCTGTCCTGGATTCAGTCTATACTTGGAACTATATTCTCAAAACAGTAGGATGCAGGAATATATTGATGCATCTAAGTATGTGTGGGGAGGGTCAAATGGTGAGGACTGATCTGAAAACAACACAAAAAACACAATTTATATTTTTGGAAATATTTTCCTATTATGCGTCAGCCATATATATCTTCAATCTGAGGAGTATTTTCTGATTTTCAATCCACCAGCTGTTCCTTGGAACACTATGGGGCAGTTCTACTCCATCCTACAGGCATTGTGAGTAGGAATCACTCGATGGCAATTGGTTTGGATAGACAAATTAATCTTTAAACTTCAGTTTTTTCACTGGAAAAATATACGAATGATGCTCTTGGAAGTCTACCACAAGCCAATGTAAAATATTTCTTGAGAAACACCCTTCACCTTCCCGCAAAATTCAGGCACCACTGGATTCCCACAAATACAGTACTACTGAAGATAAGCTCACAATGCAAAATTTAGAATATGAGAAAGTAACTCATGAGGTGGGGCCAAGATAGTGGAGTAGTCAGACACTTCCGGTGGACCCTGTTACAACAAAGACCTGAAAAAACAACTGATTCGATTATATATGGCAATCTGGGAGCCCTGAACATCGAAGGCAGAGTTGAGGAACCGGACGGAATGGCAGGGGGAGGGAGACATGGTTCGGAAGCAGCGAGGAGTTGCCAGACCCAACCTGGCGAGAGCCTAAGCCCTTCAGGCCTGAGCAGCTCATGGGTGAGTGGTGAGGCAGGCAAGCGGCTGTGCTCGGGAGGCACGTTTTCCGCACCAGGAAAGACCCAGTGCCAGAGAGTCTACATGGCCACCCAGAACCGGTGAGAAGCAGCCACTGATCTGGGGAAAGATAAGTAATTGCAAATGGCCTACT